GCATTAAACACTCCTGTATGCAAAATCCCTGGAGTTTTGCTAAAGTATGGCTTAAAATTACAACGAAATTACAGAGCTGGAAGAAGAATCATAGCTGCATAGAAGAAAGCTAATACAATTCTTTACATGTCTGTTTAATAAAGAATCTTTCATTTCTCAGTTTAAAAAATAAGAGCACAGGTTCCTTAAATTTGGTGCCATAACATGAGCTACATTTACTGAAGAAAAACATGAAGTCAATACCCAAGGCTGCAGCATGTTCAGAAAACAAAATAATTAAATTGATATTGTTTCCTTTTTGACAGGATCTCCCATGGGAAGGGATATTAGTTGGCTGTAGCAGTAATGGCTCTCTATCTAGGCGAAGAACAATTATGTTAAATTAAAACCTCTCTCTGTTTATCAAACAGCCAAAACTAATAAACACAGCTATGGCATTAAGACTAAAGTGCTACTAGACTATTACTTCCTTCACCAGAGTATCATTTATAATTCAATTTAGACAAAGAGTGTGCTCCTCAGGGATGTGGGGATGTGGTATTGACACGAGGCCTTTGCCATTTAGGCACAGGAATCTTATTGTTTTGTATTTACTGTGGTTAGAAATAGTAATAGTTTTACCTGGAAAAATAACCCCACAAAATCAGTTCAGAAATTTTTGAGAAATAGATTATTGAAAATAACCTGTAAAGTATTGTTTATAACAAGTAATGCGAATTGGAAGGTGTATCTATAAAATAAAGGTGTTAAAAAAAAAAAGGCAAAATATGCACCTGAGCAACTCTTGCTCATGGGGTCCTTTTTTTTTCATTTAGCTACTAATCTTTTTTTTTTTTTTTTTTTTTTTTTTTTTGTAGCTAGGGTTTTTGCACCAGAACTTGGTGAGTCCTTCAGTGTAGTGTGTATGTGTATATATATATATTTATGTATATAAGTTCTTTAAGTTCTTCTGTCTGCTTAGTGCAGACCAGGTTCTCCAATTTTGAATTTATAAAGAAATCCCTCAAATTGATTTACTTGTACTCTGTGGAGCAGATACCCATCTGCCTACTCATGGTACCATTCAAAATTCATGCAACAGGTTGCATGATAGAAAGCCTTAAAAAAAAAACAGACCAAAATTTGAATTTGCAGCCATTTTGAAACATCAAACAGTGCATTTTTTAAAAATCTTGCCATGAAGTAAAGGCAGTTTCTTTGGGAGACTGCCAGACACCCCAGTAATGTCTATATATAATACACCCATGCATAAGAAAAACAAGAAATAGAAAATCTGATACATCAACCACTGCCAGCCAGTAATGACCAGTGGAATTCAGCTAACGTAGACAATTTAATTTCAATGCCTAGTGGGAATTTGATTAAAGCAATTAGAGAAAATTCTAAACATAGTCCAAATCATGCATGTCTCTATTTCATTTTATTTTCTTTAAGAGCCGTCAGCATTCTTGGCCTCTGAAAATATAGGTAGTAAGTCTCCTGAAAACCTTTAAGCAGGGTTATAACTTTGTTCACATAATGGTGACATTGAAGTGAATGAGGCTACTTGCAAAAGGGAAATTGTATATGTGTTTAAGCATTTGCAGGGTCTCATGCTAAGTGCTTGGAACAGAAAGTTCTTCCATAGCCTGCCCAAAACCTAACCCTAAATAGAGTTGTTCCTTTCCAGCAAAGTGTGGAGGCAAAGACTGAGGAAGAGAGAAATTCAGAGGCACAGTTGCAGACCCTGGGTTCAGGGGGAAGTAGATGGGGCTGAGAGACTCCAGTCAGCAGGGAAATCTAGTGATTTCTTAGGAACAGTCTGCTCTTGAGTGTCTGATTGTTATTATGAGATAGGTGGAAATTAAGGGGAATAAACCTCTCGTAAACATATATGGGGCTGCAGCCACAGCTATGACATCACAGGCAGCCAATGGAGTAACTAACTCCATCTTGGTCCATCAACTTCTACAGCCATTTAAAAATTTTTTATTATTCTACCACATGAATCTGGACTGCAGCCACTCACCATAAGACAGACTGGACTAATAAATCTTTGGCACATATAACCACCATGTTTAATATAAAACAACCCCTACACTTTTTTTTAATATGATTTATAAAACAGAACACGAAGCTACCTACATGGTCTTTTCTAGCTACAGCAGATACTTTTATTTATTGCACATTTAATTACTAACAGCAATTCAGTCATGCTACCTGACCTTAAGGCCTTTTGATTACCTGATCCAACATATTTCACATTATAAAAATGTCAGGCTCGAAGAAACCCACCAGTCTGGTTTTCTGTGAAATCTAATTATAAGCAGCAATGTTAGGAAAAGGTTACCAGTTTACATAGTCAAGGCAGTTATTCATATTTGGTAAGAGTTAGTTTTGGTTGAAATGATAGCTGAGAGGGCACCGTGCAGCCCGGTAGGATGCTGTGAACTGTGCAGCCTCGTCTCACCCTCGCTCATTCTGGCTGCTCAGCTTGAAATTGGGAAGCTCAGCTGGGACCCTGGGAACAGAGTGCCACAGATAAGAACATCCGTCTCCCTCTACAGTCTCCATCTCCAGCCTCTGCAGAGCCAGGAGTTGGGCTGGATGATCCTCATGGCTCCATTCCAACTCAGGATATTCTGTGATTCTCTCATTATGGGAAAGAGGAGCCAATGAATCCATTCGTGGGAATGGGCTCAGTCCTTCCCTTAACTCCACTGTGCCTTAAATGCTCTGTTAAACTGTAGATATTGAGATGGAAATTGGCATGAGCTGCATTACAGACCTTGTGGATGGCTGGGGAAACTGACAGGGTTAAATCTCATTGATGCTGTAAGTTTAGGTATTTGTCCCGTCTAAGAATTTTGGAATGCTTTCCTGTGCCTTGCACATTTGTCTTGCCCCATTTTTGTACTTCAGTCAAAGTGGAAAGGCTCATGAGCACAGCAGAAGAAAGGGAGGAGCATCTGCTTGTGAGTAACTCTCCTACACTGCCAGTGACAATAATAATAATAACAAGAGTAATAGCAATTTCTCCAATTTTTATGGTGAGTAAGAGCTTTAGCAGGAAGCCTGGATGATACTGTGTCTGTTTGAGGCAGGTCTTGCATAAACAAAATTAAAAGATAAAGGATCTTGGAAAAAGACACATCATTTCCTGAGTGTGTTGTTTTAAGCTATGTGACATCATGCCTTAGAATAAAGATGAGAGATGCATTTTAGTATATTCATGGTATGACTTTTCATCCGAACAGAATTTGATTTTGCTGCCTGTTATGTTGTATAAAACTGGAAAGAATAATCATATTATATGCTGGGTATTAATTCTGTAGTCATGAATCAGTGCATTATATTTTTTCTCCTGGGAAATGAATAAGCACGTTTTTTATATATTATAATATGCCACACATTACGAGTTTATGTATGCTCTAAGGTACACCAATGCTTTCTGTAGTAGACTAGCTCTTCCCAGTCTTTCTTTGTTTGTGGGATAGCAGATGAACCAAGATGACCTCATGCTGCAGCTTTGCTTCTCTGAAAAAATGAAGCTGTCAACAACATGGGAAAAGTCTCATAACCACAGGAAACAAAATGTTCACAGGAGCTGGGCTAATGCTGTGGAGCTTGCTGCCAGAAAAAATAAGAGTGACCAGCACATGTGCCACTCTAAACACTCAATGCAAGAACCCAATTATTCAGAGTAGCTTTCCCTTGGTAGTCCTTTCAAGCATCCTTAGACTAAGTGCTCTTTTGGTTGTAAGACAACAAAAAGCTCAAAAATGTTCAGATGTTTAAAATAAAAAAAGGCAAGCTCACACATAATTTCCCTGGAAAATGGCTAGACATTACAGCAACATTACAGTCTGATACAATCCTGGATAAATAGATAGTTACTAAAAAAATTAATAAAGCAGATAATTTCTTCCTGCCTGTAGGAGTGGCAGGCAACATTTTGAGACATTTCTAAAGTCATATATGATCTCTCAAGCCCATTATAATCCATTTATATCTAATATTATTATTTATTACCTCTACAAAAAAATATGAACCAAATGTGCATTGGCCAGTAAACAGTGTGTCTGTAGTAACTTCATGTCATGTGTTTCTCCTAAAAAATACTGTATAATGGCATGCACACCTGCAACTGATGATCTCCTATACCTTTAATTTTTCATACCTCTTGTATGGTTGTGTGCAAAACCCCACAGCTCCAATTAAGTTTAAACTACAACAACTTAATTGAATTTAATGACCAACAGGAATGTTTCCATGTATTTATATTTTATTCTTCATGCCAATCTTCAGTAATGTTCACTGAAGCACTGACTTGTGATGAAGATGGTCCCTAAAAAGAAGCATTGAAATAAACATTCAGTTTAAAAGATGCTTTCCCATTTCCCAAACTGGCTTGTGGAAACAGCTGCTAAAAGTATTCAGATAAAGGTTGCTGTCATGATCACTGTGTGGTGGATATTAGAGAATGGAAGAGGGCTAAATCTTCCCAAGAGATGCTTTTGCTTGAAATAATCTAAACACAGGAATATCTGATTTCACTCATTCCATCGAGTGTGGAAGACATATGCTGCAAGATGTACATGGTATTTGGATGTTAGTTTGGGGTTAGCCTAACTCTCCTTCTTCCTGAGTCACATACCAAAATCTTAGTGTGCTCAAAAGCCACAGAAGATGCAGACTCTCTGTGGAGGGGAACGGGAGGTCCTGGAGCCATTCATGGACAGTAGCTGACAAAGCTCCCAGCAGACCCATGAATTTATGGTGCAGCAGGTCTAGCTCATGCCAGCCGTGTTGCTGCATCCCTGAGCAGCCCGTTGATTCTGGCTTTAGCAGCTGCTGCTGGCTCTTCTCCTTCCATGGCCAGACATTTGAATTCCTCTTCCTTCTCTTGCCAGCACAGTCTGCTGACTGGCCATGTGATTCAGCTGTTGACTTGGGCCAGTGCTTAACCATTTGTGCAGGGCCATTCTTGGTGTGTCTGCAGTTCCAGAAGGGTGTAGGCTACTCCTATGCAACTGATGTTGAGTTTATAACAACTTAGATATATTTTTATTATTATAATTTATTCTATATTATCTATTCCATATTCTATATTATATCATTATATGCTATCTATTATAGATATCAGTTTTTATTTATTCCAAGACAAATAGGGATCCAGCCAATGGAATGGTCATGTACTTCATCCTGTCAGGAAAAAGTAAGTATATTCCTTTCCTAAAACAAGCTATTTTTGCTTTTTGTTGTTACCAACAAGGATATAACTGGAGCTGCATGAATCAATTTTCTTAAGACCAAAGAAAGCTGGCAGGGAACCCTGGAAAGCCACTTCTGATCTGTGCAAAGCTGACCAAACCCCAGCACTGAAGAACTTGAAGGCAAATGGCACAAAATTCTGTGGTAGTGTAGACCTGGAAAGAAAGAAAGAATTGAAGTTAAAAAAAAAAAATCTATTCTGACATAAACAGTGTAAAAGCAGAACTTTTAAATAAGTAATGTCTCAGTTTATTTGGTTATATACATTTTCATTTGTCTATTTATATTTTTTCCATATACACAGACTCATACATTTTATATATTTATATATAGATATATATGTATAGATCTATATATATATGTATATATATATATATAGAGAGAGAGAGAGACTAATCTAAAATACCTTTGAGGACTGAAAGCTTGCTCAGTGGTGGTAGAACCAGACAGGCAGTCTCCAACTGCTGGCTCTACTTAAAATAAGAAATCTTCAAAAGATGCGGTGGTGTGAAGCAGTACAAAATATCAAGGGAAAACATAAGTAGACGTGATATGTTTTCCAATTTGCTGGCCAGCAGACTACCTGAGGAGAGATCCCTGCTGAAAGGATCCTAAAATATTTTGTGTTCCTCCTCCTTTCAGGAGGGGAAACACAGGGACCCGAGCCGGAGCTTTTAAGAGATTCACCTTCATCCTGACCTGCTTTTTCCCTGCCTTCAGGCAATAAAAAGTGAGCCAGAGCTTGAAATCTGGAGACCCTTAGGCATTGGATAATCTTGGGATAAACGCCTGCTAATGGCACAATTATCACTCGCAGTCACAGGAGATAATCCTTGTTTAACTTTTAAAAGCCGGTGCTTTGTGTTGCTTCCCACAAAAAGAGGAAAAAAGTTAATAATTCATCGATTCAGGCCTGTATTGTAAAAACTCCTGCGTGGTTAAGGAGTGCTTACAGAGTAAAAATGGGGAACTAAAGAAAGAAGAGTTATTTAATAGTTGGGGACAGGGTTTCGGCTCCCAAGACTCCCTGTGGTAATACCAAGCCTAGAGCAGGGAAAGTGATTTTTGACAACAGCAGTTCCTGAAACAGCTTGTGCAAAGCAGAAACACAAAAAGAGAATTTAAGATAAAGAGGACAAAGACATCGCACAGCTGCACGCACACACACAAAGCGTTTCCAGCTGCTACAGACCTGGAAATTAGGTGTTCTGTCTCTAAAGGTGTCAAAATGTAGCGTAAAGGGAAAAGGTAATGTGAGGCAAAATTAAATGAAAGGGAGAGGCTTTTCTGAGCATTGGCTGTAAAATCTGAACACTAAAAATACTCTATCTTCCAAATCTTTCATAATTATAAGAATGCAAGCAGCTAATTTTAATGTTAACTTAATAAAGTTAATTTGGATAGCCACATTTAAGGACTCGAATCTCAGCATTATCTGTCAATGTTTGAAGTACAGAGTTTTTATTTTAATGGTGGTTTAGATTAATGTGCCTCTGATGAATTGAAGGTGTAATAATGGTAGACCTGTAAAACTGTGGTAGAGATAAGGGATTATCTGTAAGAACAAGGTGAAAAAGATTTCTGGTCAGGTTCATGTAAACTAAACTGCTGTGACAATTTAGCATGAAAACTTTTCACTTGGCATGTTCCAGATTTTATCCACTCTACTTTCAAAGGTGTAATAGCAGGATAGAGACGTAAAGCACTGGGTTTGCTATGGACACTGTGGGAATACTGGCAAAGCTCATGCAGCTAATATTGGAATCTAAAGGCACACTTTACCAAAGGATGGCTTTCAAATGGGCAAATTTGTCCTGGCTTTACTGTTAGTGGCACCCAGGTTAGCTGGGTTAAAACTCAGCTCTGTTGGTTCTGTCCACAGCTGTTAGAACAAGGCCTTTGCTGGCTGTCCAGTAGTATGTTTGAGAGGAGGACAAGCCCTTTCTCTCTGCTGTGCATGCACATACAGGCAGGAGTTAACATTTGTTTCTGTAGTGCACAGCAGGTATGTTTGTGGCACTGCTTCTTTATCAGATGTCTGTTTGTAAATAGGATTCTTTGCATTATAACAATTTAAAATGTGTTAAAAAATCCCAGCCATACAAAGAAATCACCCAAAAAAATCACAGCCCAAACCCCAAAAAAGCTACCAAAAATAGGATAGTTATAGAAGCTGATAGAAGTGATGAATGTGCTACTCAGTGTTTATCTGCTTACTGTATAGTCATTGATTTTTTTGGTGAGGAGAATTACCCACTACAGTGGAGCTTTATTTAAAGACTTTTAACTCAGATTTCTGGAAACTGAGTGATATATAAAGCTTGGAATCCTTCTCAATGATTTATTGTAATGTAACATTTGCTGCAATAAACTACGCCCTCAATTAGACCTGAGCAACTCCATTAACTTTAATTATATCATGGTTGTAACTGAGAGTATAATTTAGCCCTCTGGGAATAGAATATACAATTAAAGCTCCACAGTGCAGAACAGGCAGAAGAAATTTGCCCTTCAGCTGGAGCTGTCAGGAAATTATAGATTGTTTTGGTTATTCTCTCCAACCTTAACAAATCCCATTAATGACATAGTTGCAGTGTGTGGTTTGCAGTGTATGGTGATTGGTAGAACAAGTACTGTTTGTGCTTTTTCTCTTGGTATCTTGCAGGTGAGCAGAGAGCAGGGATTTAAGCTCCTGGGCACTGACTTTTTGCTCAGGGAATAGGAGAACAGGAGCTCAGTGAACAAGATGAGTGCCTTAGCAGCTCTACAGAAATTGTCAGTTATGGTTCAGGACCAAGCCCAGCCAGAGGATGTGGAGGGCTTGGAATTGAGGGACAAAGAAATAATATGTGGTTATTTGACATAATCCCATAGTAACAAACTGTAGTTTTGCAGAGGAGAAAGCAAATATCCAGTGATAAGAATGAACCAGTTTTTCATCCCAACTGCTTCAGCAGAAAGCAAAGAGTTGACAGTGTTATTAAGCTATATTGATAGCCTGTTCAACTCCTTTCTATGTGACTGAGAAAAATTAGCTTAGCTTGTAAGAATAAGAAAGGAGAACTTCTGTCTTGTATTTCTTATTTCCAAAGAGAGATGCCAGAGGGAACTTTTATCCAACATGGAGGGTTATTTTCATGTTTGCTTTTGGTTCGTCTTCCCAAGATAAATGGGTTTGTTTGTCAGTATTCACATCTGGTGGATTTTGAGGGCTTGAAATCAGTGCAAGATAAACCATGAGGGCACTAGAAGTTGATGTCCCCATGGAAAGGCTATGGAACAGTTGGGGAACATCATGAAAAGCAAGCCAAAAGCATTCAGGCTATGTTAGGCCCTAAAGAGACATCAAAGCCCATGGTGCTCCTGCAGGCTCGGCACTTGAGTTTCATAATGCTTTCCATGGCAATCTCAGCTCAGTCCCAGTCCATATGCCCCCAAGTTCTTGCAGTTTTCATGCCAGGAAATTCCTCAGGGGAGGCTGTTTGTGTCTGATTTTTGACAACTGGCACTGGCAGCTCAGGCAGGTCCACAGTTTTCCCCCATTGCCTAATCCACACTCTCTACACCCAGATCCCACTGACGTGAATTTACAAAGGAGCATGATAAAGGACTTCCCTCTGTGCCCAAACAGCAGCCTGGCTACTTCAGGAGTAAAATGTTTTCACTGTTGGTACCCAACTCCTGTACTGAAAGTATTTTTTACTTTCTTTGTCAAGTAAGGAACTACTTTCTACACCAGTACAATTTGTGTGTACCTACCACCTTTGAGATTTAGGCCTTCCTCAAGTAAGTTCCAAGTTTAGCTGAAGTCCTGCTGAAATGATTAGCAAAAAACAAGCTCCTTGTGCTGCTCTGTTTTCACACTTCTATGACTCAGGCAAATGTGCTTCACTGCTTCTGTCTGAAAGTCCTGAAGAGTCAGATTGGCTCATATTGAGTTCTAAGACTTGAGAGGAAGCCTAAAATTATGAGAAGGCTGAAGAAAGTAACATCTAAGTTAAAGACAAACCCATCTAAAATGTGAATATCTCCACTATATAGAAAACGTATGTGGTAATGGAATCAATAGGGAAGAAAAGATTTATTTAGGAGTAGAACTTCCACCCATTGGTTTAAATTATATGATGGAGAGGAAATAAAGGGAAAAGGGAAAATTTTGATGAGGCAAAGAAATGCTTCTTAAAATTTGTGCCTCTATGGAAACTTTTCAGTTGTTGTATTTGACAGAATTGGCCTGAAAATTTGTAATGAAAAAGACCATTTGTAAAATTTGAAATGAGCTGTGAAAAGAGCACTGTGCTAGATAAACACTTAGGAAATCCAGGCTGCATTTTTTTTTCTGGAATAAGATCCAATTTATTTCTGTTTTTATACCATTCATCTTCCAAATTTTAAATTTTTTTTAATAAATGCATAAAGAAAAAATACAACAGGCATATTCAATACTCTTGCCTAATAAAGTGAGTACATAATTTTCCTGCAACACATGCATTTAAAAAAAATATTCTTAATAGAATAGGTAAATGAGGAACTCGTCATTGGTAACTTCTCTTGTTTCCTTTCATGGCAGTGCATCTCTTGGTGAGGACCAACACAGAATAACTGTGCTCTGGTACAGAACAAGAGAAGTGGAGAATGGTGTGAGTATGCCTTTTAATTGCAATTTGTACCCTCTAGTTCATGTGTTGAAAGGGCCAGTGGCTTCTTTATGCTACTTGTAATACTGTGCGGGTGGCTGACTACTCCAAACTGAAGTGGAAAACTGAAAGAAACCCCACAAACCTTGTAATTAGGGTAAGAATGCTTAATAGCATTTTGTGGATGGGGTTCTTCACTGCCTTGCACTTGCTGACTTTGTGAAATGCGGTACAAGTGGAAGGTCCCCTCTGTGTAAATGATTGTCCAGGCTGAAAGCCCTGGCTGTTTGCATGCTGTAACCTCACTTGCATCACGAAGTAACCTGGAGCTGGGAGCGTCTGGCTACACAGGAGACTTGCAAATGCCTTACAGGAGACAGGAAAACTGTGGCTAAAATGAGCAAATGCTGAGTGCTGGTTGCGTAGCACTCTGTGAGAAAGAGCAGTGTTTAAAGACAAGGCTGGACACTGCCTTGCAGAGCCAGGTTAAGGAATTTTTGACAGAAGAAATGTCCCTAGCAGTGTTGTGTGGCTCTTGTTGTCTTTATTGTGGCTAATTAGAAAGTCCCATGTAGAAGTTCTATAGCCACTGCTAGGCTGATTATCATAGAATCAATGAATGTTTTGGGTTGGAAGGGAGCTTAAAGATCATCTAATTCCAGCCCCCTGCCATGGACACCCTTTACGATACCAGATTGCGCAGAGCTTCACTTAACCCAGCTTTAACACTTCCAGGAATGGAACAACTTCTCTGGACAGCCTGTTCCAGTGCCTCACCACACTCACAGTAAGCAACTTCTGTATATCTAACCTAAATTTGCCCTCTCTCAGTTTGAAGCCGTTCTCCCTTGTCCTATCACTAAAGCTCCTGATAAAGGGTCCCTATCCTACTTCCCTGAGTCTTTTCAGATACTGGAATGTTCTCTGAGGTCTCCACTCAGTCTTCTCCAGGCTGAGCAGACCCAACTTTCTCAGCCTGTCCTCACAGGGCAGGTGCTCCAGTCCTCATCAACCTTGTGGCCCTCCTCAGGACTTGCTCCAACAGTTCTGTGTCCTTTTTATGCTGGGGACACCAGGATTGTACTCAGTGCTCCAGGTGGGGTCTAACCAGAATAGTACATAACACTTTTAGGAAAGAGGTTCATTACTGTAGATATACTCTAGATATGTTTAAAAAATCAAACAAAATCCAGAAAACAAAACCCAAACCCTTCCTACAATAAAGTGTTGAAAGCGATCCTTTCAAACAGTGCTAGATATAATTTCTCCTTCTAAATGTTCAAAACTTTACCTGTTTTAAAGTATATAATGGGAGATAAACTCCTGTGAAAGTGAATGCTGGTTTTTTTTTTCCCTTGGGAAATTATCTTTGTTCTTTTTTCATGGCATTTTGTCCAGGTTAATGGTATCCTTGCAAGAGAGCAGTGTACATGTTCCTCAACATGGGTGGGGAGTCAGATTGCCAATTATTTAAATGGAACAATGGTTGAATTAGTAGGTTAGATGAAAACCAGATTATTATAATACATAAATTACATGACCACTTCAGAGTGCGTGACGCTGAATTGCTGTTTGGATCTGCTATCAGGTTCTGAGACTTTTTGTGTAAAATGCTGATTTGTGCTTGGCTGCTGGCTGTGATGCTTGCACATGGGGCAGGGAGAGGAACACAGAGTACTCCCATGCTCAGAGCACTGTGCTTCTCATTCTGTGGTCTTTTCTTGGAGGTGACACCTAGAGTGGGGCAGATTACGTTTCCAGTTAATGATCTGCAGGATGATATGCTGTGTCTTTTTGGCTAGTCTCCTTTCTGATGCTTAACAACTCCATACACACAAAACTGGGACAAGAATTTAACCCACTCTTTGGCATCCATCAAAAGAACATGAATTGCATCTGTTGAGGGTAGGAAGATTTGACAGGGGAAAAAGGAAATGGTAGAAATTGTAGACCAGCCAGGTGCGAGCTGGCTGCCTAAATGAATGCAACTCATTCCTAAGTGGGCATAAGAGTTTCTCTGCAGACATATTGGGTGGTCAGACCCTCACCTGAATTATATGGCTTGGAATCAGAAATGTCTCCATTTTCCTCCCTGAATTTACTCCAGATTCATGCAAGTGTAACTGAGATAAAATGTAAATTATAGACTCCCAGGATCTTTCTTATTTCAGGGCATCCAGGAGCCAGGACATGGGTTTGCTCATGTTGGAAAATGAGACTGTGCTAGCAGTCTGGGCTGGTTAACAGCAGTGAAAGGGCTCTGTGCTGATTTAATTAGCTGGTTCATTACTAAGAGAACTTAAAGGCTCTGTCTAGGTGGAGCAGTAAATCTGATCTGTATGAAGTCTTGAGGCAAGGTTTGTTAATTGTTTTTCCCTTGGAATTCATGTTGCCTGGCAGGTGGCATGTGCTCAGCCCTCATCCTGACATAGATCCTGGGCAGAGTGGAGTCAGGATACATCTGGGACCAGTGAGTGATTCCAGGTCCTATACTTCAGACATAGTCTTTGACCTTCAGGAACTTCATATTCTTATATCAGGCTTGTGATATTGCTTTTGGACTCTAAAATTCTATTTTTGGCTTTGTCAGGTTTAGCAGTTCTCCTCTGCCCTGTTCATATGCTGTAATTCTTTGGATTTACTAATTCAGACCAGCTGATAGAGAGAAAATTTTTGAGCATAGCCTTGTCATTGGGGTGGAAGCTACTATTCATGTATTCAACTTCATCTCCAAGGATGCTAGTTTGATTTTAATTATCTTAAAACATGTAAAAACCTAAGAAGGGCCTTGTTGGATCAGGTAAGTGGAGAAAGAAGTTCTGTTTAGGATGGTGGCCTGGGTCTCTGATGACCATCCCTCTCCTGTCAACGTTCACAGTTGTTGAGCTAGGAATGCTAGGGAATACATCCATGACATCTGTGCTGGATGTAGTGATATTCCTTCTTGTATTTGGTAGCACAAAATATTTCAATTATAGTTTCAAATTTGACTAGATGTATCACAGTGAGTATAGGTGGTGTTTGGGATATGCCCTTTCATTCTCAAATTCGATGCAAATTTCTTAATTTCATGTTATAACTGCATTATAAACTGTGTTATAACTGTTATAAAGGGTTATTTCAACACTTTATTTGGGCTCTGAGCACTTGCCAAATATGTCATACTCAATTACAGTTCTCTGTTAGCAAAATGCAATTGAGCTGCAATGTTGGCATTGTTGGGCAACCGTGCCTTTCTCATCTCATCCTTTTTTCTCTTGTGTAACAATGCAATGGCTTTCTTTTAGGTTTATCAGCTGTGTTTCCCATGACTGACTCTCTCCAGAGTCAAATGCTCCCTCCACTGAAAGATTTAGGAAGAGGGAAAAGAGGTTGGCAGTTTAGAGTCCCTGAAATGGTGAGATCCCAGAGCCTGCATAAACTTTCTCTCTGTGGTGCTTTCCTTGTCTATTCATGACAATTCTGTCTTTTCCCATAAGCACCTCCAAACGGGTGTCTACAGTATGTTTTGAACATCACGGTTTTGTTTGTCTGTACCACTGACTTGTTGCTTCACTTTTAAACAGACAGGGAAACTTCAAGAAGACCTATTGCCATGTGTACACAGGCTTTCTTTTTGATTCTTCAACCCTGCAGCTTTCTACTCTTCTCTCTAAGTAGTGATGTGCTTGATTATTTAGTTAGTTGAGGCATTTGCTTTATTATGATTTCATCTTTTGGACCAGAGGCAGCCTGAAGCAGCAAGGCAAAACAGCTTGTTATAATTTGACCTTTTTATCTTCCAGAGGAAGAAAGTGTTGTCCATCATCAAAAATAACAGTTCTGGACTTGTTCCAATCTAAAATACAGCTTTACTCCTGAATTAATGTTGAAAAAGAGTAACAGAAACATTTTTTGCAGGAACACTCCTTGTGACAAAAGGAAAACTTGGTAGCATGGACATGAGGTAAGTTAAAACCTGAAGTGTTTCAAAATAGTTTGCAGAGGCAATTAATGCAACAGTTGCTTAAGCTTATTTAATGAATATTTCACAGGGCACTCAGCATTGTAAGAAAAGAAAAGAAGCATTAATGTATTAAACTGTCTCAGGAGGTAGGTCTTGATAAAGAACCTCTAGCTCTGGCACAGAAATAAATGTTGAGGGGTGAAAACAAAGGAAAGGAAAGGGAAGGAATCTGCCCCAGAAAAACTGGGTTTCAGCACTAAAACTGGCAGTCTGTGTCCAAATGAGAAAAAAAGAAAGGAAAAATTATCAAGAGAGAAAATTTGTGAAATAGGAATATGAACTAGTATTGTTGTGGGATGGTGAAGAGGATTAATAAGTATTTGAAAGTGTCTGCATGAATGCAAGATGCATGACAAAATAAACAGAGATTAAGAATACGCAAAAAGCATTGGCATCATTAATGTAACTGGAACTGAGAGGGGAAGCAAAAAAAATATGCTAGAGTTGATTGTTTAACATAACATATAGGTCATGCAGGAGGGAAGAGATGGGAGAGAAGGTTTGGAAATAAATAAAACTGAGGATTATGGAAGAACATGCAAATTGCTTGAAAAAGACACATGCTTAGAAACTCTGCCTAGCTTTAGCTCCCACTGTCTCTAAGAATGGTTTTCCAGTTTTTAATGGATTTCTGGGACGTCTAAATAGGGTGGCTTGGCGAATGCTTTTCTCTATAAAAGAGCTATCTCAGAAGAGCTACAGCTGTCTTCACAAGTGCATGGTATTTCTGATCCAAAAGCCCTGTCCTTTGTGTCTGCTGAGCTTCTCTGGGACTTGTGACACCCCCAGTTTGTCAGAGAGCTTGTGAGTGACATAAATAGCTACCACTGACTGCTGAAGTTCTTGGTGAGGAACACACAAATGGGAAAAACCTGGGGGCCATCATGCATCATGAGAGCTGAAGTCCAGCTGAGGCCTTTAAGAGGACATGAGGGTTTCTGTCATGGTGTTTTTCAGTATCCTGGTAGCATACTTCTGTGATAGTATTTCAGAATGAAAGTGGTTTTCTTCTCATGTAGTCAGTTTTTAAAAAATACTGAATCAAGTATTCAAAGAAACAGTGAAAATTTATTGGAACAAAGTACAGATGAATCTATGGGCATGCAGTCACATTGAATTGTAAGGAGCTACTTCTTTTAGAAAAAATATTTAAAGTTGATTAAGCTTAACTGACTGCTGAGCTGTGTTGCATCCTCCCCACTGCAAGCTGAAGAAGCAACTAATTTTAAAAGCTTTTCATTGAATCTGATTTTAATGCAGAAATGGGTAAAAGTTCCAGACAACATTCAAAGAGCTGGACCTGAATTGTCACTGGAGGATTTATTAGTGTGGGTGGAGCGCCATGCAAATGCACTTCTTGACTAGACTCCATCTAGTCCTTAGCTTCCTGTTCCAGCTGAAACCCCTCTAAACAGGACCCTTAGCCATGTCTTCAGACTTGGAGGAATTGCCCTGTGCTGTGGGCTGAGTATTTAACTTTTGGGTCACCAGTGGGGCACAGACTTTCCCACTCCTTATTCCCCATCTCTGCTCCAAGCTCCTGATGTGGCCTTGTCTCATCATCTTCACACTCAGTTTTGTAAAGTTTGCAGTTTTGCTGTTTCTGATGGAATAACTGAAATTTGGCTTTGTGGTTTTTTGGTTTTTGGTGTTCATTTTTTTTTGGTTTTTTAATATTTATGCTCATCTGTCATGCATGTGGCTTTGCATGCTCAGAGCAAGTTACTTTGTCTGCAGTTGCAAAGGCTTCCACCAGGTCAGAGGTTGATGAAATACTTGCTATTTATGTGGTATATTTCTTAATGTACTGAGGAATATGTAACATGAGTCTTAAAAAGATCCAGAATTCTCTGATTGCTAAGGCTGTAACAATCATTGTAATATTTGCCACTTTTTATTTTTAACAGTGAAATAGGCATAATTGTGGCAGATGCTACATCCTTTTGCCAAGAGAAATGACAAACTATGTTCTCATCTTTTTGTCACTAACTCATTTTATTTCTCTTCCGAGAAGCCATATTTAGCAAATTGTTTGAGCATTACAGCTCAAATAAGGTTTTTTACCTTTTATAGGTTTTAGCTTTTCTAGTTAGGCTATTTTCTGGGGGATTTCAGCTGCTAGAGAATGTTTCAGGTTTTAAGCATAACAAAACAAAGACATATTTTCTATATCTTGAGAATACTGTAACTCTCCAACAATCTTAAAATAATTGTTGCACCTCATATTTTCAAGTAACTGGCAGGAACAATAATCTTCTACAGCTTAGTACACTCTATTAAAAATGAGTAATATACATATTGATCATAATGCTTCTCTTAGCTGATGAGGCATCTCTTGGGGATGAAACCACAGTACCATATGGCTTTAATGTACTCGATATAGTTCTCCAAATAACCACTATAAATTATATTTCAGAATTATGCTGGGCAGCAATAGATTTAGTCTTCCAAGCTGTCAATAATACATCATGACTGTAGGTAAGAAATTCATTATGTACAGGATGCAGTATTTAAATAATTAACAGCTATCCAATCTGTTTTGTAGCTGTGGTTTGTGACACTTGGAATTACACTAACTTTAACATTCCATGATAAAAATGGGTGAGTAATGCACCCAGATAATTGAAACTGATACAGGAAGCAGAATGCATTTCTCTAGAAATGTAGCTAATGTCATGCAATACAATTCCCTCCAAAAGAATGAGATCCAGCATCTTATTGAAATTTTAAATGTAAATTTTAAATGGAAACATTCTTCTGAATATGAAAGTGGTTTACTGCCCAATTCTGGCAAAGGGTGATGTAATAAATAGCTGAATTCAAATTTAAAGCAAAGCTAAAGTTGTGGTGTAGTTTGCCAGAATATATTATACATTTTTTGTCAAATGTTTATTTGTCAACAAGTTAAGTCATTAAAACAAATAAATTTAAATCCCTGTCTGGAACAAAACCCACTCCATGAAATCAGCAGTATTACCTGTTAAACACTAACAGCAATACTCTTGTTTCTGACATTACCAGCTGGCAGAGACCACAGTGGCCTTTTAAAATCTAAACCCAGAGGGAATAATTCTGAGACTGTGTCATGAATTTGGAGTACATGCCATATCTGGACTCAAATACCAGTTTCTGGCTCTGACTCTGTTCTCCCTTGTTGAGAAGGTAAGAAAATTGGGTGAGGAGACAGGCAAACATCTGCCTTATGATGAAAGATCCTGTGGCATTTTCCTAGGGTAGAAGTTCAGCATTTTGATTAACGTACTGCTGGCCAAAATCTCTCCTCCCACCTTATTGTGCACAGTCACACATTGCCACAAGTTGTCCCAGTCCTTTTTGTGCACATTTTCAGTTTAGATGGAGCCAGCACTGAAGATGCTGTGTGCCAAGTCTGGCCTGACAACAACAATTCGGGATAGGAGGTTGTCCTATCCCATGGTTTTAGGGTGGGATAGAGTCAATTGTATTCCTGGTGCTGTGTTTTGGATTTAGCATGAAAATGGCATTGGTAGCACATTGCTGTTTTAGTTGTTGCTAAGTCAAGGACTTTTCCAGTGCTCTGCCAGCCAGCAGGTACACAAGGAGTTGGGAGGGAGCATAGCCAGGACAGCTGATCTGAGCTGGTCAAGGGGCTATTCCATGGACTATCCCACACCATGGATCACCACACTCACTATGTAAACTGGGGAAGTTTGTTGGAAGTTGTTGATCAGTGCTTGGGGATGGGCTGGGCATCAGTCAGCAAGAGGTGAGCGATTGTGTTGTGAATCACTGGTCTTTGATTGCCCTCTTTCTTTTTGTTATCTCTCTTTTCATGACTGTTATTATGATTATTGTTGATTTTATTGCAATTATTTAACTTCTCTTTTCTCAACCTTTGGGTTTTATGTTTTTCTGATTCTCCTCCCCTTAAACCATGACAGGGATAAAAACAAATGAAGAAAAGAAATTAAACTCATGCAGAATTTTTTTTTTCTTTCCAGGAATGTCACTGAGGCCTTTGCAGTTTTTCACAGAAAATGCAAGAGTCACTGTTTAGGTATATAAATAGCCCAAATAACAAATATAATGATGCATTTGGAGCTGGATTTTCACAAGGTAGGTAGCTTCTTCACTAGGCAGTCAGCACTGCTCAGATTTTCTCTTCAGACTTCTTTGAAAAAATTTGAGTAACTATTTGTGGGGGGGGTCAGACAGAGAAAGTGCAACCAGTAGAGTTATATTTTAGTCATTACATAGGTTGTCAATCATCATTTTCTCATAGGTGTAAGATTCAAGTGTGGCTGCTGTCAGGAGCATGAGCCTCAGAGATTTGCTGAGCTCACCCAAATAACAAGGTCTCCAAGGTCTCAGTAACTTGAATAGAAAATGTAATTGCATATAGATTTAAGAAGCAGAACAAGACACAGTCAATTTGGATTAAAGCATGGTATGGTTGTCTTGACAGGGATTTTAGTTGGAGCTGTACATGATGGATGAGAAGGACTATGAGTGTCTGTCATAAAGGTTTGAGCAGAAGATGATTGTGAGGTTTCCTTTCCTGGTAGGCCCCTCCTCTTAGTGGAATTACAAAAGATGCAAGCAAACATCAAGTGCAGGAATTTAAAGGTGAATATCCCACTTCTCCCTTTCAAGTATTTGTCTGCCAGAGTATACAACCCTTGCACAAGACCTTTGCATCAGTGAAGAACTGTAAAACAAGGTGTGACTAAACAAAAGTTGTCTTTTTCCCTTCTCATTGCCATCCTTGTTGTAACTTTGCTCTCCTCAGAGTATTCAGTGCCATAGCAGCAAAGAGTGGAAGACCTCTGATGGTGTTGGCAGTGATTTAATTGCTTTTTTCCAAAGGCTGCCAATTTCTGCAATATGGAAACAGAGGTATTGACAGCCTGTTATTATAATGGAATAAATTTTGAAATTGCACCCTGGGGTGGAGAGGAAAACATGAATTCATGTGAATCCATTAAGGGAACATAAGTTTTCCCTACCCTCGGTGAATTATGCACCTCTAACATGAGGTAAACCAAACATGCACCTATTCGTTTTCTGGCTCTTGCTTATGGCAGCTTTTTAAAATACAACATAATGTTTTAGAAATCCATATGCATGTGTGCTGGGTGGTAGTATTGCATTAGAACAGAAATACAAAGCTAAGAATAAATTATCCTTGTTCTACACATGGTCACAATCAGTATTCTCCAACTTTGCCCTCTCTAATGTTACAGTACTTGTTGTAGGAGGGTATTTAAAGTGAGTTTATAGTGTATAAATGTCATGCATTTGATGCTATGATCTGTGCTAGCTACCCTCATGGATAGTTTAGTGTCTCTCCCTCCTGATATATCAAACAGACTGTGGAAGATTTGAGGCATTCAGGACTTGCTTGGAAAACCCCTGGAAAATTGCGAGTTTTACTAGTCTAATGGTGTACAGACCTCTGTCTCCTACCAACAAAACAATATTTTACAACATCCAGGATTCATGAGATCACACATATTTTCCCCAAAGCTGATGAATTACAGGTTACTTCTTGGAGCTGGAGAGCAGAAGTGAAGAAGAGGAGCCGGTCCAAATGGCACAAAAGGTAAGGAGCAGCAAGCATTGGCAGTCATCACTTGGCAGGCATAGTGGTCAGCTGTGGCTGCTGTCAGGAAGGTGTGCCTCAAAGGTTTGCTGAGCTCATGCAAATGACACTTCATGGACTCAGCAAGTTGAAGCAGAGACCTAATTACACAGATGTGAGGAAGCTGAGATAGAATCAGATATTCTTACTTGAGAAATTTGGATTCAAGCACACTTTAGTCACTGCTGCTGGTTTGGTTATCTGTGTTAATGGGAAGAGCTGAACTAGCTGAGTGTCTGTGCCATGGGCTGGTTGTAACTTTTAACAATTTCCATTCATTTTCCTTGCTAGGCTACTTGTTCAGGAAGGCTATCACTGCCCCAGTCCTCACAAAATCTGAGTATGGGCTAGTGCTGTTTGCAGCATGCCATAACCTCCTTGTCTTACCTCACCCACAGACCTTCTGGCCTACATTTCTCCCTTTCTTTCCATGGCAGCCAGGACAGGAAGGTCAGGGAGGTGATGCACCCTAGGTTTTCCCCTGGTACAAAGTCAGGAAATGGTTCTGGCTAGGTATTACTGATCCTACATTAGTCATAGCCAAAGGAATCATCCGTTTCTCACTCAAAGTGCTCCTAAAAAAGTTCCTTTTGTCCCATGGTAACAGCAATCTGAAGAACTATTAAGCAGCAAAATGCATGCAACCGTGCACAAAACCAGTCTGAATGATCCCATCCCACAGATTCCTGGTGTGTTCTGGCTCCTCTGAGTCTGGCTGATGGAGCTTACCCAGACTCTCTCTGTGCTTTTGCAGTGAGGAGAACACTTTTAGGACTAATAAAGGATGAGCAAATGAGTAATCCATGTATTGTAGCTATGTAAAGGACAAAAGTACTGAATAGAAGTCATTTGGGTGGTGTTTTGTGTACAAATCTAAAATTCTCTCCCACCTTTTTTTCTTCATGTATCTTTTTTTTTTTTAATTTTTTTTTTTTTTTTGTCTGAGGTACTGCTAATTGCCTCTTCTATACAGTAACATCTACAAATCTAATTCAATCTACTGGTAATTGGCATTACACTTGGCACCAGAAATATGAATGTATTTGTTTAATGCCTATGTCATGGGAATCAATTACCAGCAGTTTTTAGAAGAGTGTCAAAATCTCATTTGTTATTCTTGACAATATGACTCAAAGTCATGCCTCAAAGTTTTGAGGTGTTTTCTGTGTTTTCTTTATCTCTAATCCTGAATTCATCTGTATGTTTCAGACTCATGCCAGTGAGCATTCTGAGCTGCTGGCATTAATGATAACTTTCATCACATTGAATTACGCCGTGAAAGCACAAAAACTTTCAAGTGCCAGCAAAATGGGGCAACATTCAAACAGGAATGCTGTGTGGAATGTTATAGCACAGGATTTTCCCAAAACAAGTAAAGAACAACAATTTCTCCCTAGCTATTTGTTTTTTCCACATGATGTATGAAATTGGGAGAGTATTATTTGTGCATGTAAATTACAAGGCCTTGGGCACCCAGACCTAACTTTGGCATTGGCTCTTTTTGAGCAGGTCATTAGACAGCATGAACTCCTGAGGACCCTTCCAGATTAAACTGCTCTAAGAGTCACGAGTTCCTCAGTTGGCTTCATGCATTACCAAGTCCTCCAAAGAGATTTGCTTACTATGCTCTTAGTGAGTGAGAAACAAATTTCAAAGAAGCAGGGCTTAAAAAAAATAATGAATGTGATTCCAGCACAATATGCTACAATATTTTTTTATTTAACACTAGAACATGAGTGAACTCACCTCTTGTGTAGAACTTTGTAATTCCTTACAGTAATACTTCATGAAACTTAACAGGGAGGAAATGAAAGAAAATGCTGTATCCACTCCAAACTGCCAGGATATTTGTTGTATTATAATTATCTACTATGAAATTTCACTACATGGACATCATTAATTTTCAAAATACTCTTGAGGGACTTTTAATAAACTCTAGGAGCTAGGGTTCAAAGAGTTGAGTTTCTTTCTACAGCTTCAGTCCTGTGTTGTTGGCATTATGCAAGTGCCTTAGCTCAGTAGTAACTCAGACAGACAAGGACTACCAGCACTCTTTCCTTCAGCACACGCACTCAGATTTCCTTGGAGGGTCTCCTATTTAAATTCACACTTGGCTCAGCACAGTTTAACTTGGGAGGTCTGACTGACTCATGAGGCAAAGTGATGAGGCTACAAGTCACTGTATTTATTTGGTTTCCATTTATTTGGAGTCACCTTCTGTTAATCATATATGTTTGATTATGGTTCATTGGGCACTTCCAGAACATCATCTGGTACAGAAGTCATTTGAGAGCCTTCTTTATTAATTTGTTGCCTATGAATTTTCTGTCTTCCACCTTCTCCAAAAAGTCATAGATCTTCTTGAGAGGGTCCTCAGTGATTTCAGGGAGCCAGACTGCCTACAGAAGGGGTGGATATGCACACTTTTTGGAGATTGTGATGGAATTGTGCCTGCTGCAGTGCTCCCCAAACAATTCATCTGGTGACACAGCTCTGTATGAATTTTGACATGTATTAGGTGTCAGTTTCTTATATTAACCAGTGAAGCAGGCAATGTGCTATAAATTGTTGCTCATTCCTGTCAAGCATACAAGTGCATTGGCTGCTTGAAATGACATTTTTTCCTGTCAAGAAAGGTATTTAAAATTTGTCATTCTGTGAGCAATCTCATGAGGATTCACTTCTGAAAGTTCCTGCTGAAGAGACACAGTTGAGGCTATTGAGCACGTGTTCTTTGCTAATGTCTGCACATGCAGAATGGTTAAAGTACACAAATAATTTCCTGGGTGAGTGGCAAATAATGTAGAGATTAATCTGAATTTGAATTTTTCCCATATAAAAAGGCAAAGCACAATCAGAAAGAACGCTTGGGCATTTGGCTATGAAATACAGAAGACAAAAGAGAACAGGGAGGTCTCTAGAATCTTCAGGAGATTGGCTTGCTGGCCTTGGTTGTTTTGTTTTTTTTTTGTTTTTTTTTTTTTTTTTTTTTTTTTGTGATCCTCTTTTTTCCCTAAAATCCACTTCCATTTATTACACGAAGTCCAAAGATAACAGTGATCTTCATCTCTTTTGTGGCAAGCTTTAAAGAGAGGGCTTCAGGTGTTCTGGGGCAGATGCAGCAGCATTTTCAGGTAGTGAAGCTTTTCCGGGAAATGCTTGGGAAAGTTCAGTGCTCTGAATTTGCTCTGAATTAAGGAAAGCTGTTCTGACATGTGTTTCCTGAATCTTTAGGAGGAGTTAGCAAGAAAATGTGATAGGAACAATCTTTCCCTTTCTGAAAAGGAGCTCGTGGCTGAAGACCATGCTCACACATGTTGCATAATTTCTGGTTGGCTTTTCTTTGTGTGGTTATGTGCAAAACTGCTGTGGCTGTGGGAGAAGTCTCTTGATTCTGCAAATCCACTCTGACATTAATGATGAATAGTAAAGACTGCTGCATTGCACTTTGCACGCTAATCAGTCTCTGTGTTCCTTTACATCTTGCACCATATGTACACTGTGACTTGGCTGGGATGGAAAACTGGAACTGGCAACACTTACCCTGATTGTTCTTAACATGATCAAACAGTAACACGGTTTGACAGGAGTTTTATAAACCATCATGTCGTAAAACAAAACCAGCAGAAACTAGCTCGAGCAAAGAAGGTGTGTTTAAAAAGAAAAAAAGTTAATGAAAAGCACATGAAACTGCCCATCTGTGCAATTGTTGTACATTTTCATGTGTACAATGGCAAATAAATGCCATAAACCTTTTGTGCAGTCAATTTGAATGTCTCAAAAGAAGTTTTTTTGAAAGTTAAGAAGCAAATTACAACAAGTGCTCTATAATTCACACTGTGAATCCACTGGTGGTAGTCAGGGAAGGATTTGTCAGGAAATATTTACCTTGCCCTTTCTCCTTTTACAGCCATAAGAACTGTCTCTTACACATCCTTGGTCTTTGCTTGTTTGCTTTTTTAATGTCAGCACATGTGAGTTACAACATGAAGAAGGAAGTTTTGCAAACTCAGGGGTTCAGGCAGTGAGATACATGTCACAGTTTTTCACTACAGAAGACAACATGTCATATTGGAAATGTTTTCATTAGAAAAATTAATACTTACCCCCATCCTTAATAAGTATTTATCCCCATCCCAAAAAAAGAAAAAAAAAAAAAAAAAAGAAAATGTAAATCATCAGAATCAGACAGTTCAGGGATTCAAGAAAGCCTATTTTAGCAAAACTAGGGTTGCAATGTTCCAGTTCTATGAAAGGAAAATAAGGAGAAGGAACCAGGAGAAGACACAAACTTTCTGGTAAGTAAACCTTAATCTCAAAAGTGACAAGATGAGGAAGTGTCTGTAATAAATCACGGTCCTGAAAATCCAAAAGAAATCATGAAAAAGTACAAGAGCAGGGTTATAGGAATAAAATCAGATACCCTAGCATAAGTCAAATAATTGGGAAAATGTGCATAAAAAGTATAAAGCAATGGTTCTATAAATAGATCAGGAGTTAATTGGAGGTGGTGGAAGTAACAGTAAAAAAGATGTGTGGTCTAATATTTCTTACAGATACTTATTGAAGGAATAATATCATTCAATATTCAAACAGTAGGCACACAATTTGAAGTGGTGTGGTGTGACTCTGCGTGGGTTAAAGCCTTCTGGGATTGTATGGTGACACTCAGTATACCATGGCCATCTCAACTGCGACAGGATACAGAGTAAGGTAATGAGACCTTTTTCTTGACTTCATCTGCAAGGATCTGTGTGTCCTAATGGTTGATACAGTGATATAAATGAGGAGCAAGAGGGGGAAAAGGCAAAATGTCAGCCACGTGTATAGATGACACTAAATGACACAAAATATCTCCCACCTGGATTTCTCTGGACAGCTATGCATATAATTAAGCTTTTAAACAATCCTTAACGAGAGGCTCTATGATTTTACCCCTTGGAGATTTTTCAGAGGATTAGTATGTGTGAAGGATGAGCAAAATACATTTCACAGTATTCCTGAACTAAAGACTGGTTGAGTCTTTGATATTTCTGTGAGTCAATGACAGTGAGAGATTGTTTGGCACTTTTATGCTTCTGTTTGCCAAATTATACATGCAGTTCATGTTGTATTTTTTGTTTATTTTTCCTACGAATATCTTCAGCAAATGCAGCTTGAGTTGTGATCTCTGTGCATTGTGATCTCTTTTTTACTGCAGGGTCACAGGTGCACTGGCCTCCAGGTAGCCACCATCAGTGTTCTGAGCAGAGCCAGCAGCTGTCATTCATCCCTGGGTCATGAATTACTGTGCCATGAGAGTCAGAAAAAAGCTGCAGGAGGTCTGCATTCAAAGCTGAGCTCATACAAATACTTTAAAAGGAGCAGAAAATTCATTTTCTGTTTCAATTTCATTTTCATTTTTACTGTTTTTCTTGATAATATGTCAAAATTGTCTTTTTAATTTAAGTAGGTCAGTGGCTGCATCTGATGGCATTAATTCACACTTTCTGACCCTCACTTCCACTGAGTTACAAAGTCCAAAATCAATTGTTTACATGCTTTATTTATAAACACAAGCAAAATTAATTCTCTTTCTATGTGCAAGTATTTTATTTGGGTCTTTCCACTGGGCTTGGGCACTAATTTTTTGCTTTCATTCATGTAGTGAAATCTATTCAGTCATTTTAAACTTTTTCTTCTCAAAATATTTGCCGTCAGTGTCTTCTGATATATGTATTTAACTGGTCTGGTCAAACTTACTGATGTCTATTTTCTCCAGAATAATTGTTGAAGTTCTTATGTTAAATGATTTTTTTTTTTTCTGGCTAAATGCATTGACTCAGTACCTCCAGAATATAGAACTCTCATGTGGAAAGATAAGCACAAGGTATAATTTCAAAAGTGTAGATGAACAGATCAGAAAAATCCTTAAATCCTGTTTGATTTAACTGGCATTGTTAACCTTGAATACTATGACTTGGTCGAGCAGTACTCCCCAGATCAGTTGGGTGGTATGTGCAGGCGTGATTTAAGACCTTGGAAAATGGTTTTTCACAGTGTTTCTTTGGAATGACAATCTGAAAAGACAAACTCAATGCAGTGTTGGCAATACAGAAGGGATTTATAGGAACAGAAATGATTTAAGGGAACGGGGATGCAAATGGCAAGAGGAGTGTCAAAACCAGTAAAAGCTAACAGGGCTGGATAAAAAGAAAAACTGAGATATTTGGATTGCTCTTCTATGTGTATATACCCCACCAGTTTTAGTTTGCTCACTCAAATTTGGCTTGGTGCTGCCCACCTTGAGTTTCTGTGTTTCAGAATTTACAAAACCAAGAGCCACGTTCCTTTGTCATGGTCCTTGAAGCACATGGCAGCACAAACAGCCACGGCAATCCCCCACCAGTTTTATGGCTTTTGTTTGTGGCTGCAAGTATGCAGCACACACAGTAAAAACAGGCACATCAAAACAAAACAGTGCAAAAAAAAAAAAAAGTCCATTGAAATTCATGTGAACTTTGGGGAGAAACATGATTTCAAACTAAACCAAATGTTTCAGTTTGCTCTGCTTCAAATAAATAAAATAACCCAGTGGGACTACATCCCTGTAGTGAGACACAAACTTTACCTGCCAGTGATTTGAGGCAGATGTAGGCTCAGCTGGCTTGGCTGCAGTATGATGTGAAAGAAACACAAGCTTTTCAGGGTTTTATAGCTGGAGTTTTGCTGAGTGCAGCTGCTCCCTCAGCATATTATTAACTCAAAAACATGTTCATTAAAAAAAAAAAGAAGAAAAAGTTTCCTGGCACTTCTTTATCATGCAGGGGATCTCTTGGGCTGTTCAGAGGGGATGTATTTGAAAATTGCTGGAGTGGAGGATGTGATGCACTAAGATTAGTATAAACAAAATGGAATCTAAATAATCATAGTGAGGGTAAAAAAGAAGACAAAATGGGAAATATTAGACTTGTATCCATCTGGAGATTTCCTTAATAGGCACCCAGGAGCCTATCAGGGACTTGCATCCATCACAAGAAACTTATTAAAAAAACTCATCACCCCCTCTTCTCCCTTTATTTTATTTCAGTAGTGGCTGCATAGTGTCTAAAGAGATGAATAATGCTGTGATGGCAATAGTTTTGTAGAATCACAGGATAATTGAATGTAAGGCTGCAAAGAGCCTGCTGAGGTCTCTCCTGCCCCAGTGGGAGAATCAAGTACGTCTGTGTCTCTTAACACATTTGTCTTCAGGGCTTGCAGTGATGGAGGGCCCGTGCTTTCCCTGGGTCTGCCTGATAGCTTTATTAGCCTCCCCCCAGTGCATAACTCATCTTTGCTGCTGAAGTTTAATTCCATAACTTCGTGTCTGTCTACTCCTGGTAGTCCAAATGGTTTAGGAGCTGTTATTTGAACACTGCTCTCACCTTCATCCTGTTTTCTCTTGATTAAGGAGCTTCAGCCTTTCCTTTCTCCTTTCTCCCCCTCCCCTGTCTCCTCATCTCCTTCCCCTTATCGCTTGTTCTCACTCTCACCATCCCTTTGCAGACTCTCTAAATGGTGAACTTTGTTCCTAGTGTGGTGTTTCCAAGGCAGGCGTCCAGAAGCCTCCTGGCACAGTCACAGGAAGGGCTCCATCTCCAGCATTTCTCAGGCAATATTGTAAAACACATCCTGATGTGATGCCTGCTCTCTCCACAGAACGCAACTTTGATTTATGTTCAGCTTGTGATCCATGGTGCTCCTTAAAACCTCTTAGCAGCTGCTGTTTAATCATTCTTCATTCTGGCTTTGTGCATATAATTTCCCTGATTTAAGCTAAGCATTTTGCACCTGACTTTATTTGATGCTAAGCAACTTCTGTAATTGTCTAGGTTGATACTGATTTTTTATCACATCCCAACAGACTAACAGTTCCTTCCAATTTAATATTTTGTGAATGCTTAGCAAGATTTACTGGAAGTACAGGTTTCCTTCTACCAAAGTTATACTAAATGCTTTACTAGACACTGCCTGTTATGGACTGGGAAACGTTTGGAAAATGTTATTTCAGGATAATTATTGGATTTAGCTCAAAAATGTACTGTCTGGGACAAATTTGTGCAGAGGAAGGTGCTGTAGTGATGATATCAGTGAGTATTGGTTTGGAATTGGCTTTGCCACAAGAATTATACTCCAGACTGCTGTTACAAAGTTTTCTAGGGGCAAGGGGACATTCATGTGTACTCCGTCTTAAGAGATCTGTGACGTGAAAAATAAGTTTCTGTGCTACCTACTTGTTCTGTGTTTATTTGTTTAACATGGAATGGACTAAGGCTCTGGCCTTATTCCACTGTAATACATGAGCATGTAATGAGAAGAGTTGGAAAAATTGTGACTTTACTGAGTAAATCTTTCTGCTGAGTGGACACTGAGCATTGTGGTATGCCACAGCACATTGTAACATGCAGTGCCTTTCAAATTTACATAAACTAAAGTATTATATGTTGTCAGGGAGCAAGCCTGTTTTCTCTACTATTTCTACCATTTTTTTAAACAAAAACCCCAGTCTGGCAAATTTAAATAATTAAAAACCCCTAAACTGACTAAAACATCTAAAAATATTCCAGGACAGATATTGATATCTTTTTACATGCCACTCTTTTAATGAAGAGCACTGATATACCAATGGACTAGTGAAGCACTCTTGGGATAATGTGGGTGGCTCTTGCAGCATTTCCTGTGGTAATTTTCTCTTTCTGCTGGCAAGCTGAATATCACTTTGAAAAGCAGTTCTCTCTGGAGTTCCCTTATGCCATGCCATGGGCAGGACAGGAAAGATGAGGTTTAGGCTTCACTTTCTTTTAATTCTCCTAAGCAAGCTTTTTCTCTTTTTGTCCTGTCCATACATTTTCTTTGAAGGTCGTTCAGTGATATATTATTCTGTCTTAAATGAGAAAATATCCTAAATGTGAGCACTAAACAGACTTTGATGTTTCCTGGCAGCCGTTGACTTATCTACCTTTATAAATACTCATACATTTATCTGTTACTACTGCACTGCTTTAAAACTCACCAAATATTACAGGCACGTTATGCTGTCACATTTTCTCAAGCCACACATCCAAGCGTGTTTTACTGTGTTCTCACAAGAACTTAGAACAAATGTCATCCTGCTTTAGGGATTTACAGGACACAGTTCAGCTGATTTCATTCAGTCTAACATAACCCACACTGTTCTTACATGAAACACCTATTTAGTACTAGAATCCACACACCTGCTTTCTAAACCAGCTTCATTCACTGTTTGATTTATTGATCCATTAAGTGGGTTTTCAGACCTTACAAACAGCCTCAGATAATCATTTCACTCCCTTTCTTCCTCTGGGACAGCAAAGGTCAGTTTCTGTTGTAAGCTCTTAACTCCAATCTGGAATTAGCTGGAGATCATTAGCACTCAATATAAATTCAGCAAAAAGCTTCAAATGAGCTGGTAGTCCAGCTGGGCTTGAACAGGACTTCCATCCTGAAAGTGGAGGTAACTCTACCTCATCATTTTTTTAGTGTCAGAATTATCTAATACTATTGTTGCTACTGTAACTTTGAGATATCCATATAAAGTTAACACAGCTGGTTGCTTTTGGGGTTCCAAAAAAAAAAAAAAAAAAAAAATAGTACCATTGCCTCATGAAAGTCACCCAAGGTGTATTTTGATTTTCTTTTGTGTCCATACAGACATCAGTTGTACCTGTGCTT